CTTGAATAAGCTGGGTTGCTGTTAAGGGAACTTAGGCTAAGTGAGCAGATGGTAAATAATAGGGTTTCCTTATTCTACTAGCTTATTTTGATTTCCTTAAGAGCAACCCAGTAAGTGGAACTGTTCTTCCCCTACGTCTTTTTGCCCCTCTGATATGCTGAACATGAGTCGGCAAAGAACACAACATGGTTGATTTGCATCGCGCAGTGGAACTCGTATGAGTCCACAAAAAAGCTATATTTGAAGTTCATTCAGGCATAATACTATACAAATTAGCTGGGTTTCTTGGAAATCAGGAGGGTGTTGAGCTCCTGCACCTGCAATTCCAGCTCTTATTGAGGTATCGGACCGGTTCTGATGTTCGTCTGAAAGGCCAACCATCACATTTGAAAATCCAAAAAACGATCAGGACATCATACCAGTAACAGCGGCCCTGTAAATGGCTCTTATAAGATGGGGGCTTCTCCAACTGTTGTAGAGGATTGAAGGGGTGTACCGTTCAGGGCTTAGGGCTTCATGTTTAAGGTTTAGGGTCATATTAATGAAGAATAACAAAAGTAACAGCAGCAATAGGAATTAATGATGCCCCTAGACCCTGAACGGTAGCCGTTCGTAGTGATTATACGAATACCCCCTAGACCCCAAACCCTAAACCCTTAGCATAAATCCTAAGCCTAATAGCCCTAAACCCTAAACCCACTGGGGTACTTCCAGATCCGCAACAATGGCATTTTCGCCTTCGATTGGTGCCTCTTCGACTGGGCGGACCCCCCGACGTTTGGTGAGGCGGCGGGGTTTAGTGTTTGGGGTTTAGGGTAAATGGTTGGGGGGAGGGTCCATAAACCATCGCTCCAACTATACACCCAACTATACTATAGGGTGTTCAGGGTTTCACAGGTTCAGGGGGTTGTGGGCCTGAGTCTAAGTCTAAAGAAGCTGGAGGCAAACTGGGTTGGTGTTCAAGAATTTCAACTACGTTACTATCATGAAGAAATCCCATTAGTAGTATATACAGATATTACGCATTGCAATTAAGACCCTAAACCCTGTATACCCTTAGTATGCTAACTGAGTTTAAGTTCCGCTTACCAGCAATTCAGTAAATGGCTGTCCGGGAGCTTTTTGATTTTAAGAAGCACCTAAACTTGTGATTGCTGGCCATTGTTTAGCGTTTAGGGCAACCCTAAACCCCAAGCCCCTAAACCCTAAACGTCTAAACCCTTAAACCCTAACTCTTAACCCCTAATCCGCCAAGTTCTACCAGGTTTGACGAGAATCGGAGAGAATGGCTTGGATCTTTTGCGATGTATAGTCTCCCTTAAGTAGATAGAACATGCCTTTGGGCATGTTATGCTAAGATCCCCGTATACCCCATATCCTGTCTACTAAGGGGGACTATATGCTGGGGCCTTGGGAGCTTAGAGGGTCTGAAGGCTTAGTGCAAGCGACCCACAACCCTCTGGTTTAGGGCTTGGGAACCCTAAAACCCCAAACATTAATTCGGGTTTAGGGTTTACATATTTAGGTTGAAGCCCTACACCAAACCAAGCCCAACCGGACAAGCCTTCAGTGAGGCCGGGGCGAAGTGTTGAAATCTTAGGGAACCTACTTTAAATAGTTGTTAGTGTCATTTAAGGCGTTACATAACAAGAATGATACAAACCTGTCAGCATGTCAACCTACTTGCGCATTCCCACTGACCCTAAAGCCCAATGCATCCATGTATCTCTGTCGTATATACCTGGGCCCTTGAGTAGTTCTGTGCGAACCCTTTGGGCCCCAGTATATACGCTATACCTACATTATCTATAGTCTGAACTCCTAGTATCCCCCTCCCCTTGTCAGAAGTTTGGGTTATATCTACATGGACCCCTTGGACAAGTAGGGTTCGCTCCTGTATCTACAGGATCGGATTGCGCCTTTTGGGTTGAATGTAGGGTTCTGCTCCCACTTATAAACAGTTGGATAATATTCACACTATACATATATATATATATATATGTGGGGTTTAGGGTCTAGGGTTCAGGGTATACATATATATATATACATACGATATACATACATATAGAGAGGGTGTAGGGTCTAGGGATTCGGGTTTGACCTCTAGTATAGACTGTTACGTAATGGGTGGGGGTAGAATCCAGGTTGAATGGTATCCGCAGCCGGCAGGAAAGATTTAGGATTCAGGGGAATGCTAACTCTGGTAACACATGAACCTTGAACCCTTGTTAAGGTTTGGGGATTGATTAGTTTCTTTTGTTTGGGGGGAGTAAAAGCAGTCAACAGAAGCTAATCCCTAAAAGTTAAACCCTAAACCTTATACCATCTTAAGCTCTCAACCTCAAACCCTAAACCCTAACCAAAGCCTTTGCTTCTATTAGAATCGACCTTCCGAAGGACGGGAGGCCGGGTGCAATCGACAAGGTGGCAGCAGGCCCTTTCCAAGTCAAGCCCACGTCGGGGCCTTTGCGCCGCGTTTAGGGCAGGTGTAGGGCTTTCGTGTTTTGGGCTGGTTTTAGGGTTTACGGTTCAGGGTTTTAGGCTTCAGGGCTTTAGGATTTAGGTAGGATTTCGAGGTTTAGGGTTTAGTGCTTATGGGTTTAGTGGTTTAGGGCTGTAGGGTTCAGGGCTTTAGGGTTTAGCGTTTTAGGGTTAGGTTCTGTATCTGATGAGACAATCATCATGACAACTCGGGGTATTCCAGCACCCCACCCCTCATGACTTTCGCAGGTCCTCATTTTTGGCGGGGTCAGGCCTGGTTAAGTTTCGGGTTCAGGAGTGTAGGATGCATCGCTTCGGGTTTGAGACCTTACGTCCTCACAACAGGGAGCTTCCGAACAGTCATAGGCTCCTATTCGGGATTGTGTTCTTCAAGCAGCGCGGCCAGAATCTTGGATAAAGTTTTTACAAAGAGTCATAATGAGTCTACATCATCAGGACTGGGGGAGACTTGGAACCTCCTCAGCTGCGCATCAATGTGGCAAGAGGATGGCCCACCTGGCCTTGAAGTTTTCTTGGAGGTCTGGCGCCAGCGTGTTGAGGCTCGCTTGGACCGCCTAGAGGCCAAGCTGGAAAAGCTGGAACAGATCAGAGCAAAGGGCAAGGGCGGTTACAAAGGAGAAGGCAACAACGACTATGGCCGCAAAGGCTGGCGACGAGGCCAAAACACAGGCGAGGATAATGAGTCAAATGCAAGATTAAACGGAAACCAGGGCTACATACTATGCTAGACCCTCCCCCTACCCTCTGTTTACCCTCTGTTGGGGCCTGAGTGCACACCATTAGGGGCCCAGTGTCCCAAATTAAGGGGTACCAGGAGGGTCCGGATTTTGAAGTGTAGCGACAGTTGGGCCTTTTCTATTTCACGCAGAAATTCCCAGTTCAGGAGTAAGGGTTGACTACCGGGATGCAAAAAAAAAGAGGGTTGACTTATGGCTTTTATGGTGTAATTAGGGTGTTTAGGTTTTTGTGGTTTACGGGTTTGGGTAGCAGGCGGTGTTAGTTGTAGCCATCTTCATATTCAAAGTCGCAATAAGGTTCCTGCATGGGCGTGTTAGGTGCTGTAGTACTTCGTGTTGGGTTTGAGAGGAAGTGTGGCGATGCTAGACGCAAACTTGCCTCAAGCTATGCACCCACGCCTCAGAAAATTTGCCATTACAGCTGCAGGAGTTTGCTCGTCAAGAATTGTATGACCTAGCAGACCTAACGTGCATTTAAGTAAGTTACCATGCAGGCTTGCCCTGAGCTGGGTCCTGACTCTTTGTGTGCCTGCGGCGTATTTTCGTTGCACGTTGGTCCGCGTTTACTGTAGCAGCGAGATATGGCAATTTCCATAAAAGGGGGGAGCCAATGTAGACCCCAGAAAAAGTAGAGCCCTTAGTCAGAAGCCTGAAAACCTGAGACAGAAACACTGAGCCCTGAGCTATATGGGGTTTCCCAAAGTTGGGGGGCCCTTTGCTGGGTCCCAATATTCAATAAGGATACTCGTATATGTGGGTCTATGTTGGGGTCCCCCTGTTTGGGAAACTGCCATATACCATAACCCTAAACCTTATTTCCTAAAATCAACCTTCGCCTTACCCTCAAACCGTAATTGTCACCATTATCGCGCACCCGCCTCAGCTGTTGGGGTGCGGGGAAATCCAACTCCCAAGCTCTCAAGCCTTACCTAAACCCCAAAAGTACGTAAAAAGATAATAGCCCTAAACTCTTAAAAACAGCCCAAAGTGCCATTATTTTACGTACTTTTGCGGTGTAGGTAGATGTTTTGGAATTTGACTGGGCTGCCCAGCACTGCTGGGGGGACAGCAAGTTTCCAAATGCTGGACTAGCCTTGGCGCATTTACCGTTCAAAGCCTTCCAGACAGGCTTAGGGTTTAGGGTTTAGGGTTGATTCTTCACCCTCTCCTGAAGCACGTGGTATCATGGTAAGGACGTCGTACACGAAAGCTTGCAGTGGGCCCCCGCAAAAAGGCCTCCGGCATAAGCTGCTGGGTACGGCTGGAGCACAACAAACAAAAATCCAAACCGCAAGCCTGTAAAGCCTACACCTGAGAAATCCTCAGCTGGGTTCAGGGTTTAGTGTCTAGGGTTGGGTCGAAGTGTTGAAGATTTCAGTATGCTCAAACCCAACTAGAAAGAAAAAGCTGTTGTTCCTTGTCACACCCCAAGCAGGGGCCGGTAAACCTCGTAAACCATGTACACTATACGTCCTTCCCCCCTCTGCACACCAAACCCTAAACCCCAAACCCTAGACGCCCCAGACCCTAAACCCTAAACCCCAAACCCTAGACCCTAAACCCCAAACCCCCAAACCCTAAACCCCAAACCCCAAGCCCCAAACCCCAAATAGTAGTTTCCAGCTTTTTTTCCTTTATCCCTCTATCACCCCTTCAGAACCCTATATAGTATAGTAGGTTCCATTCTCTTTTCCGTTATCCCTATATGACCCCCTTATAACATGTAACCCTACAATCCCTACATAACCCCCAGACTTCTAGGTCTGGTAAGCTGGATCCAGATGAGGACGTTCAGGTGCAGGTAACTTTCGAGGCGCGCGATGACGCAGGTTCAAGGGTGGAGGGTTTTAGGGTTTAGGGTTTAGGTTTAGGGTTTAGGGCTTTGTAGAGTTTAGGTTTTAGGTTTTGGGGTGTGCGGGGCGGGGGACCCAAATGAAGTTACCTCAGATCCAAAAAGACCCTCAGTTCCTCAGGTTGTAGGGCTTCGTATAACCCTAAACCCCTATCCCCTCAAACAGAAAGTTTCTTGGGCCTAAGTAGAAATGAGGGTGGAGGGTTTGAGTTCCCGCTTCAGCCCTAAACCCTCAACCCTAATCAAAGCCTAAGCCCTAAACCCTTAATCCTAAGCCCTAAACCCTAAACCCTAAGCTCTAAACCTTAAACCCTGAGCCCAAAGCCTTAAACCCTAAGCCCCAAACTGTAGAAACCATGAGCAGCCCAATCGCTCAACCTCCACAAGAAAAGCCGTCAGATCTCCTTTCACCTCTAGGGTTAAGGGTTTAGGTTTCAGGGTTTAGGTTTCAGGGTTTAGGGTTTAGGGGGTTAAGGGTTCAGGGTTTAGGGTTTAGGGTTCAGGGTTGAGGGTTCCGGGTTTAGGGTTGAGGGTCTAGTGTTTAGGGTTTTAAGGTTAAGGTTTCAGGGTGTAGGGTTCGGGGCTTAGGGTTTGGAGTTTAGGGCCGCAGCCTGCCTCGGCCCTCCCCATACCATGGTAGTTGGGTTTCTGGGCTCCAGAATGCTAGGCTGCAGATCATGCGAAAACTGCCCGACTTCAAGTCCTCATCCCTGGAACCACATGGCCTGCCTAGCCAGCCTTGGGTACAGGAACCTGAACCCTAAGCCCTACCTAGACCTTGATGTCTCCAATGTTTTTGCCGGGCTGAACCATTATTCAGAAGCATGAAGGCAAAGCTCCAGCATTTGAATTCTGAAGCTTGATGTCTCTCCAAGCCCCTCAACTGCACCCAACCCCATCTTTCAATCAAGTCACCATAAGTTTTAATGTTTGTTTTCTACGGATCTTGTGCCATGTCCAAAACCCCCTAGAGTGGGGCGTCGACCCCCACGCTTCAAAGCTGTCACGTCTCAAATTTTAAGAAGCAATCCGAGCCATGGATCTTGCGCGATGGCAGCTTGGAATAAGGAAACCATCGAATCAATATACCCTGTTTGCAGAACCCAATTATAGTAGTTTCCATTTTCTTTTCCATTATCTCGATACAACACCGATATACTATAGCAGTTTCCAATAACCATTATCCCAAAATAACCCCAATATGACCCCCTATAATCCCTGCAGTTTCCATTTTCTTTTCCATTATCTCAATATAACCCCAATATACTACAGTAGTTTCCATTTTCTTTTCCATTATCCCAATTTATCCCAATATAAGCAAATTGAGTTAAGATCTTTCGTCAACTCGATGCTCTCGCCGAGCTTCGTCCCAACACTTCCAAACTATGCAAAGCTTAGACTTCTTGTAGGGTTTAGGGTTTAGGGTTGAAGGTTTAGGGTTTAGGAGGGTTTTGGGTTCCCTGATAGCTGTAAGCCCTAACCCCTGAGCGCCTAAACCGTGGGAATCTGGCCTACGAACTAGGGCCCACTGTTGCCCATACCTTGCTATGGCAAGGGAGCCTCCCCCAGAGCTGCCTAGAGGCCCTTTTGAAAAAGACAGTGGTCTGCAAAGGGCCCTTCAACCCTAAACTCTAAACCCTAAACCCTACACTGCGCAAGGGAGGGTATAGCTGTCCTGACTACTTCGAGGCTGCTGGTGACGAAGACTACGACTCGAAGATTGCGATTTGGGTGGATGGCGTGCTGTTCTTGGTCAGATGTTGCCAGGATTTGGAATTCAATTCTGCTGTGAAACTCCAAATGCCCAAAGCGAGTATCCCTAAACCCTCCTTACAGGACACGCCTACTAGAGAGAGCTTTGTGACTGCCGTCACGCATGCTCCCGCAACAGACAGGGTTTAGGGTTTGGAGTTTGGGGTTTGGGGTTTGGGGCTAAGGGTTCCCTATCCGATAAGCCTCCGGTTCGTGTAAAGCTTCCTTACGGGCAGAAATTTAGATTATGTAGCCGTTCCGCAGGCTATGTGTTGCTCGTTTTGAGCAGGATCAGATGGGGTGGGGGTATGGGAACATCGATGCCTGTTCTTTTGAAACGTGTCACTTCTTGTTTGCGTTAAACCTGTGCATGCTTCACCACACGTAGCGTGTTCTGCCCGTTGCCACCCCAACAAGCACAGGAACTGAAAGTGTTTTCTTCTCCTTGGAGATGTTCCGGTGGATTGTGCACTGAATCTCTGTCACAGGGCAGGACTTATGCACACACTTCGCTGGCAAATTTGTTTTGCTTCTGTGAAAATTGATGGTGCCTCTTAATTCGGTAATTTCACTAAAAAAAGGGCACCCCCAATATAGACCCCAAAAAACTATAGTCCTCATGATGAGGACCCCCCAATTAATCGGCACCCCTAATTTTGGGAAACCACCATGTGTTACCTTCGTACATGACCTCGTGCATGCCAGCGCAGCGGACGAGGGTATTTTGCTCGCGATGAGGGAGTTCTCGCGCACTTGGCTTATTTCGGATATGTTAGGGTTGCTGATTTAGAGATAACCAGCACTTTCAAAATACCATTAAACTAGGATCTATTCAGGCCCTAAGTGTTTGTGTGTAGGGGTTTGGGCTCTAAGAGAGTTGTGCGACATACTTTCAGGGAGACTGGAGTGTACAATTCACTCTGTCGTGTTCTATCCTCTAAACCCTAAACCCTAAACCCTATAACTGCAAAGTAGCTCTATGCAACCACTTGTTCTAAATTGTTAAAACCCTACTCAATAAATATTGGATTTCAGGTTCAGGGTTTAGGGTTAAGGGCCCCTTAGCAGTCCGGGTTCCTGAAAACAGTCAGTTTTGGGTGGAATCCCATTGGCAAAAGTGCGCACTCAGGTTTCAGGTACGTAAGAGAGGTGAAGCACTGCTTTGTGACATTATTGAAAACGATTTCTAGGTCAACATGAGCCATAGTCAAAACTCCTTAAAGGGGTTATATAAGGGGCTATATAGGGGACTACTATAGGTGTCAAAAGGGAGATTCTAGGACCTTAGGGTAGTTGGTTTTTAGAAGTTGAAATTTCCCCAAACCCTAAACCCCTGGCCCTAACCCCTAAACCATGTGAGCTACAGTCGAGACTCTCCAAAGGGGGGTTCTAAGATCCAGGCTGGAACCATGACAATTTCCGCCTGCCAACAAGTCAGACTGCCAATGACTTTGCGGCGGAGTCCCACTTGCCAGACCTGTTTTCGGACGCCGAATGGGCCTCCGCGCACTACATGGTGAAGCCTTCCTACAGGCAGGATGAGATCGAAACGCTCGATGCTCGCACCCATGTGGTGACCATAGGAGGAGGAGGCTCAGCCACCACAGCGGTGATCTCCTGCGCGAAGGCGTTCGTCTCCGGCTTTGTGGACATTCAAGCGTACTATGCGAAGTGTGCGCACCGAACCGCTGAGCATCGCATGATGCGACCGGAAGTAGACCAAGCGGTCAAGGCGGTCGAAATCGTGTTGCTACGAGTGTGGGGGCGCCTAGAAACCCTAAACCCTGAACCCTAAAATCGGCCTAGCAGTCTAACCTACTCACAGCCAAGGTGCAGGGGGAGCCAATGTCCTCCTTTGAAACTGGCCAAGAGCTGGCAGGCGGCTTAAGGTTTAGGTCTAGGCTGGATGAACCCCAAAAGTATGTAAAACAATGGCCCTTTGGGCTGTTTTTAGGGGTCTAAGCCTATTGTTTTAGATACTTTGGGGGGTTTAGGTAGGTATCCTTTATACTTTTTGGGGTACGGGATTCCTTCTACTTTTGTAAAAAGGATCCTTTGTCTTCCTACGTCCGAGCTGAGTTTCACCAGTAGCTTTACCTCACTCTTTGCATGGCAATTACCGACCCAACAGTGGGGGGTGATTGGAATTTGACAGATCGAGCCTTTTGTCTTCCTAGGGTAGTGTGGGCTAAGAAGGGTTTACAGCTTAGGGTCTTGGGGTTCAGGTTCTTCAGTTCAGGCTTTTGGGGTTTAGTGCGTTCAGGCCTAAGTGTGTGCACATTATGGTAGAGCTTCTTATTGTCAACCAGGAGTATTTCCGCAGCCAGATGTTGTTCAGGATTACTGAAGGGTCTTAATGGGCTCCGAATTATCCCAAGGTGGGGCAGTATTGTCGAGTGGGGGGGCTGTCAGAAAAGTAATCCCTCTTGAGGTCCCTTTTTCCACGTAACATCTTTAGAGCCTGTCATAAGCAGTAGGGTTGGTTGTGTTGCTTGTTCCATTTTGGTTGGTTCCGTAGCTGACTCTTAGGGCCCAAGTATATCGTTGTCATGCCCCACAACCTGTACCAAGTGTACCACAGACCGAAACCGTAAACCCTCAAGTCTAAACGAGTCTAAGCATTAGCCTGTAGCCCCCCTTAAGTAGAAAATGGGGTATATGGGGATCTTTTTAGAGTATACCCAGAGCCATATTCTATCTACTTAAGGGGGACTATAAACATTGGGTATTTGGACTTTCTGGGATTAGGTTCTTGGACCTGGTACTTACGGCTGAGCAAAAACATCTGAATCTCTACTTTAGACCCATGAGGCCTGTAGTTTGAGGATGTCAGATGAGCTATAGTCTAAACTCCTGAAAAGGGGGTTGTATAGGGGATGGCTGTGTTCTATCTATGGTCCTAAAGCAGAAGGTCTTTTTCGAAACTAGGCCTGGGGTAGCTAGATCCTTACACCCGAACTCTTTCTTGCGGACAGCGGCTTGCAAGTTGCAAGCATGGTGCTTTTGCTCAGAACAAGGGCCATGGCCCTCAACCAATTTGGGAGCCTGGAACTCGCTAAGCCGCAAACCCTAAATTCTGAGTCCTGGACCCTACGAGGCCCTGTAGCTACGCTACCTGGACCCTGGATGTCCTACCTTTTTGGGGATATACCCTATAAATATGTAGGACAGAACCCAAAAAAGGAAGGACATCCAGGGTCCAGGTAAGGGCTCAAACTGGGTTAGCCTTTGGGATGCTTAAATGGGGGTTTCCCAAAATTTAGGGGTACCATTTTGGGGGTCCTTATAATAAGGATTATAGTATTTTGGGGTCTATATTGGGGTCCCCTTATTTTGGGAAACTACCAAGTATTTTCCCTATTTGGTTTCATAAGGACCCTATGTACGAATATTTTCAAAGGGTTCCAAATGCCAACCAAGCAAAGTACCTATATACTACTTGTAGAAGATGTGGTTATGTACTACGAGTTTCCCTTGTGGTTTGGGTAAGTAATCAGTGTATGGTTACTTAGGGCCCTTGAGTGAGGCTCTAGAAGTCCAACGCCTTTTCATGCAGGATGCTCATCGTACCTACTGACCGGGCAGAGCTGCGTCCCAGGCTGATATGACCCTAAGGGTCCAAGGACCCAAGTAATAGGGGTTTGGGGGGCCCAAATACCAATAGTATTATAGTATTTGGGCCCTAAGCCCCTATTATTTGGGTCCTTGGACCCTTAGGGTGAGGGTTTCGCATAGCCAAGGGTTATAGGGATGTAAAGGGTTAGGGTCCATAGGGATTGGTTTTGGGTTTCAGGATTAGAGATTAGGTCTTCAGGTCATAGGTCGGGTCCGACGTGGGTTATCATGTGGATAAGCATGCTCATAAACTCTGTGAGTTGCAGTGTGGATAGGTATATAACCCTAAAACCCTAAACCCCAAAACCCTAAACCCAAAATCCCTAAACCCCAAACCCCTAAGCCCAAAACCCTAAACCCCAAAACACAAATCCCTAAAACCCTAAACCCCTAAACCCCCTAAATCCTAAAACCCTAAAAACCCTACACCCTAAACCCATATACTTCTGTGACCATGGGCACCACCCTGTGGCGGGCTCCAGTGGTCTCCTTGGTATTGTAAAGATTGAAAGTTGGATTCAGGGGTGCTTCCCTAGGGGCAAGGACCCAAATAATAGGGTTCAGGGCTCAGGGGTTTAGGGATTTAGTGTCCAAGGATCCCAACAATAGGGGTTTAGGGCCCAAATACTATAGTATTCATGGTACTTGCGTGCTAAAACCCTATTATTTGGGTCCTTGGGCCCTCAGGGTTTTGTATAAGGATAATTTTGGGAAAGCCCCGTGTCACAAGACTTTTCGGAGCAGTTGTGCTTCGGCAAGAAGGATCTTGCAGTGCCATGTTTGTTTTTGGATGCTGATTTGGTCGGCTTTAAAACCATAAACCCTAAAACCCTTAACCCTAAACCCTCAACTTTTTGCACTTTAGGCTGCAGGTCGCACAACTTAACAGCCTCAAGTTTCCCAATGTTTCTTAACGTGTCCCGGGTGCCTATCTCAAATTACGTGCGGTTTCTGTAGCAGGAGCTTTTCCTTTGCTTTGGGTACATATTTCCCATACGCGTACTTTGCAATCTTTGGGTTTCGATGTGACATATTAACTTAATTCAGGATGTCCGGAGTTTTAGTGAGGGGTCGCCCGCACCGCCGTAAACCCTAGACCACTGTGCATGTTGTTCGCAACCGGAGGGTCAGGGGGGCCAAGTAACTAGGCTAGTAACACCTATAATCCATATAGTAACTCTTCATAACTCTTCAATTAGAAGCCCTGTAAACCCTGAGAGTTGTGGGCTCTGGAGTGGGGGTTCCCGTGACTGCTGAGTTCAAAGTCTCTTGGGTACAGGACTCTGCCAAAGAGTCGGGGTGAATGTATGGAATGAATAATATGTGTGACTTCAAAATGAAGCTTTGGTAGTGGGACGGGGAAAAGACGTAAACGCTGAACCCTAAAGCCTAAACCC